TCATCATATCATTTTTACAAATGTTTTTTTTTTTATCTTTCTTTTTGAATAAATGAATAAGTAAACTAAATAATGTAAAATTATGAAAACTAATACTTTGAGATTAAAATTACTAAAATAAATAAATAAATAAGGTAGGTATTCAAGTGAATTAGACAGTATGAATTTTAGTATAAGTATACAGTCTTTTTTCCTTTTTTTTTTTCAGTAGATTGTTATTCATTTCAATTTTGCTTACTCATTTTAGTTTACAATTAATTTTTTAATTTGATTTATTTATTTGTTATGAATGAAATGCTTTTGTTATCAATCAACTGATAAAGAATATATATATATGAAGTAAATTTTTATTATGGAATTATAATTCACTTGATAATATCATAAATTAAAAATATAATTTTTAAAATTTTTGCCTCTTTCAAAAAAAAAAAAAAAAACGAAAATTTTTTTTTTTTGTTTTTGTTTTTCTTTTTTAAATGTTTAAAAATAGATGAAAAGAAAATATTATTCACAATTTTTTTTTTTCTTAATTTTAATTTTTTTTACTGCATAACAAAAAAAATATTTGATAATGAATAATTTGTTAAAATTTTTAAGTCAAAAAGAAAATTATTGATATTTGCTAACTATCCAAAACTATTTTAATGTTTGCTTTGCTCCTGTTTAATCCTCGAAATGAACATAATAGTAGCTTTTGAAATTTTGAAGGTCATTAAAAATTCTCTTTGCATTCATTTCCTCTTCACACAAATTTTTTTATACGCAAATTATCTCTCTTCATTTATTCTCTTTTCTTTTCTATCTCTCTCTCTCTCTCTCTCTCTCTCTTTTTTTGTCCCTAAATTGTCCATTTGTTTGCTAAAGTATATTGATCCATATGTTTCTATCTACTTTGTCAACTATTTATCTTTAGTTAAAGTTAATTTTAAAAAAGAAAAAAATTATAATTATGTTTTTTTTTCTAAAAAAAAAAAAAAGGACAATTCCTTTTCAAACTATTTATGTATATTTTTAAAATAATTTTCTCTCATTTCAAGGCCAATGAAATATTCATATTAAAATTGTTGTTAGAGTAAATAACCAACATTATAAGCTTTATTTAAGAGTTTAAATATAGTATATCAATTAATTAGTACCAAATCATTAGGAAATAATAATCGAATAATTAAGAGATATGGAAATATCGTTTAACTAATATCGTTGGTATTGCAAAATTTTTACAATTAAACAAATATTAATTTTATAATTTATGAAATAATCAAATTGACTATTCACTTAAAAGCTTAAGTAGTGTTCAACATAATTCATTAAGTGCTCTTAGCTAATTCTTTTTGTTACAAACAAAACAATAAGTTATTTTTAATCAAAAAAAAAAAAAAAAACAAATATATTTGTTACTTATTTTCTTTATCATTTTTCTTTTCCATAAATATGATTGTATATTGTTTCATTTAGTGAACAATTTGTGTTTATAATTAAAAATTTTATAATTAAAAAATTTGTGTTTGTAATTGATTTTCTTTTCTTTTTCATGAAATTTAGAAAATTTACTATGAATTAGTTATTATTTCACTTTTTTTTTGAAAAACAAAATTTCAAAAGTTCAAAAAGAAATTTATTTAGGATGATAATAGTGATAATGATAAGTAATAAATTTTTTATTCAATTTACTAAAGTTAAATGATTGTTAACGTGATAGTGTATGAATAAATAAGTGTAAGTCATACTCACGTGAAGTGCGTACAATGGACAGACATGAAGTGAAAGATACGTGAAAAGTGATTGCTAGTTGATATAAAATGTAGCCCACTTAAGTAAACTACGTGAAATATAACTACTGCTCGAGGACATAAAGCGCAATTTACGTGAAATATGATTAGTGACGGACATAAAATGTAAATTACGTGAAATATGATTAGTGACGGACATAAAATGTAAATTACGTGAAATATGATTAGTGACGGACATAAAATGTAAATTACGTGAAATATGATTAGTGACGGACATAAAATGTAAATTACGTGAAATACGACTAGTGACGGACATAAAGTGTAAATTACGTGAAATATGATTAGTGACGGACATAAAATGTAAATTACGTGAAATATGAGTACTCATAAAAAGAAGTATTAAAGTTAGCATAAAATGTTATCTATATGAAATGTTAATATAGTGGACATGAAATATGACTCACGTAAAACGTAAATATTGACGTCAACATAGAAACACGACGTGTATAATGTATGAGTGACTTTATTGAGCTTTTTTTAGCTATAGCTATGCCATTATCGTTGCATGCAACGATAAAGCTTTTTCTGTTTTCTCATTCGTACAGTGTTCGTTTTTTTATTTCTTTAACTGCATTACGTGTATTGCGTGCACTGCATGTGTTGCGTGTGGTGCATGCATAGTATATATGTACTGCATGTAATGCGTGCTTGATGACAGTTTGCATGCATATGCATGCGAACTGTCATACTTGCACTAAAAGACAAAAAAGCGCATTTGATGCACTATGCAATAGCAATAGTGTTTAGCTGCACTATTATCGATTGATGAGGGATGGATGCATTTTGGAATGAATTTAGTTGATGTGATGTTGTTTACTGTTGTCATTGTTGTTTGGGTTGTTTGGTTGTTTGGGTTGTTTGGTTGTTCGGTTCATTGGTTCATTGGTTTTTTTTTGGTTGGTTAATTAGTCGATTGAGTTCTTTTTTTTTGATTGGTTGGTTGTTTAGTTGACTGATTGTTTGGTTTTTTGGTGACTGGTTGTTTAGTTGTCTGGTTGACTGGTTGGTTGGTTGATTATATTTTTGTATTGCTATTATTGTTATTATCTTTACTCTTATTTGTTATTATTATTATTATTATTATTATTATTACTGTTGTTGTTATTATTGTTTCTATATTGATTTATTTTTTATTTCATTTATTTTCTCTAATAATCATACTTAGTTATAGCTTTCCTTTATTTTCTTATCTTTTTTTTCTTTTTACTATAAATCTTTATTTTCGCAGTATTTATTCTTAAAAAAAAAAAAAACGAAGAAAACCTTTTTTCTCTCATTATTTCATATCTTTTTTTTTTTTTTTGTTTGCATATGTAGAGAGTTTATTTTATGACATATTTATCCGCCGCCTTCTCAGTAAATATTGCTAAATTTACTATGTGGGTTATAAATACATAACCCATGCAAATGGATAACTTTTTTTTATTTTATTTGAAATGAAAGTTTTGAATGTATTTGCATATGCAGTAATACTAAGTTTCGAAATTTTAAATTAACTATGATGTGAAACATTTTTTTTTTAGAAAGTTTTAATTTCCTTTCTTTTTTTAAGGAAAAAAAGCAGAAAATTTTAGAAACTTTTGTTAATTTAAAAATGAGATTTCTCAGTAAAAAGGAAGAAAGGAAAAAAAAGAGAAAAATGTGAATTTTATATGATTATAGAAAATATTAAATATTCCTTAAAATTTAATTGCAATCTTTTTTTTTTTTTGTAAATTCTAATATATAATATTGAAATATAGTAATAATTATTTCATTACTAGCTAAAATGTATTCATTATTTATGAGCCTATCAAATAGTTCGTCACATCTCGTCATCTTGTCACAGTCTAGATTCATCTGATCGTCATCTTGTCACAGTCTAGATTCATCTGATCGTCATCTTGTCACAGTCTAGATTCATCTTGTCACAGTCTAGATTCATCTGATCGTCATCAGTCTAGATTCATCTGATCGTCATCTTGTCACAGTCTAGATTCATCTGATCGTCATCTTGTCACAGTCTAGATTCATCTGATCGTCATCTTGTCACAGTCTAGATTCATCTGATCGTCATCTTGTCACAGTCTAGATTCATCTGATCGTCATCTTGTCACAGTCTAGATTCATCTTTTATTTATATTCTTCTGATAAGGTATTTTATTGTTTTTTATGTGCTGTTAATCCGATATTGAATGATTTAATATTATTATTATTCTACAAGTACCATTCAATATTTCTTCTTTTTTTTTTTTTTTTACAATATGCACTGATGTAGAAACAACGAATCGAACGTTCTCTCTTTTTTTCCTTCCTCCTTTACATGATATTTCGTGGTGTGTCAACGGCGCGCACCTTTGATGCATTTTCATTTAGAATTTATTTTCCTTTCTTTTTGTTTTCTTTTCTACTCGAAATTGTTTTAATCCTATTTTTTGTGTTTTTTATTTTTTGTACTCACAAAACAAAAGTATATAAGAAGATGATATGTTAGTAAAGATAGGATTAATAACTATTTATTATACACTTTTTCCTTTCAAACATATTTTGCATATTTTTAACTCATTTATTTGCATATTTATTTTTTTTTTTTTTTTTTTGCTAAAATTAGACATTCATCACCAGTTTATTTAATGAATATATCAATTATGAGATTGCTTTTTCATTTTTTCTTAAGATAAATCTTTTTTTTTTTTTTTATGGAGTCATTTTGGATTATTTTATTGGAAAATAAATTGATAAGTTCTTTTTGTTTATCTTTTTTTTTTATAAAAGTTATATTGTTATTTGATGCATAGCATATGGCTAAAAATGACTGTTTCAAATCTCTATTTTTAGGCTGTTTGTTTTCTTTCAAATATTTATTATTCTTTTTTTGAAAATCGTTTTTTTTTCTCTCTCAGAATATAGTTTTTCTTTTTTCGCATTCTTTTTGAGAGATAAATGCTTCATTTAATATATGAAGTGATGTATTAAGTATTCATGTTGATGCTATTCGTAATTATAAAAGTGTTGTGTAAACTTTATTTCGAATTTGTAAGAGTATATTTCCGATATTTTAAGTGATTTACTAATCTTTTCTAGTATCATGTATCGCTTTCTTTTTGATCTTTTTTTTTTCTGCTTTTTCTCTAATTGAAAAATTTGTTTTTCCAATGTATTTTGATTAAAAATAAGTTAAGCAAACAGTTTTCTTTTTTTCCTATATTTCATTTTTTTTTTGCAGAGCTAATGGGTAAGAAAATATCAGAAGGTGAGCTTTGTGATATTCAACAAGCGATGGGTCAACAACCCGCAACAGTGCAATTTCTCGATTCCACCAGTCATATTTTTTATGTTTCGGTTAGTCATTCATTTAATCATGTAAAATTAATTTAAAATAGAGAGTTTTATCTATTTAAGCGAATTTTAAGACTGCACAAATCTTTTAATTTAAAAATTTGAGCAATTTCAGAGCATTAATAGCAGTATGTTTAATAAATCATTTCTTCTTCCTCATTTTTTCTTATCCATTCTTGTTTTATTTTCCTATATTACAATTTGATGTACTGTTATTGCTCTTTTTCCTTCTTGCTAAATTCAGTTGCACTTTTTGTTATTTCATTCTTTTTCTCGAAAGACCGATTTTTTTAAGTGATATATCAGTTCCACTTTTCGCAGATGAATCATTTTTGTTTCCTTTGAATGTTCTTTTTTTTTAACTTTTTCGCTTGTTTACATTTATTTGTGATTCATCAAAAAGAGCATCAAATTATATAAGATCATAAGCTTTTTTTTATTGTGTTTCTTTTTTTTAAAGTACCAAAATGTTAAGTTTAAAGTCAAATTATAAACTGATACTGAGTTCTTAATATGTTGCATTTTCAATGCAGAGTGCAGAATTTTAGGTTATGCTAAAGTTGCTTCGGAAGCAAATATAGCATAAAATGATTTTACTCGAATCAGTTTTGTTTTTTTAGAAAAAAGCTGAAGGTGGTGAGTTGTTTGATAAAGTATGCGCATTTCTCGATCTCACTGAAAAAGATTACTTTGGATTATGTTTCGCCGATGGTGACGGCAATCAAGTAAGATCATACATGACTTCCTGAAATTAGTATGACATGTTTTTCTGATTTATTTTTCATCAATATCACTGTCGAAAGTTATATTTTAAATAAAAATACTCTTGAACAAGGTTATCCATGAATTAAATTTATTCTTTTTTGTTTTTTTAATTTTCCTACTATTACTATTATTGTAGGTGAGAAAAGTTAGTAAGATTAGATTAATTCGTTTTTTATTTTTTAGTTTTAATATAAGTTATAGTGCTACATCTCTTTTCACAAATCAGTTAGTCAGCATGTGATCCATTTTTCGTTCGTGTAATTATCTTTATGCACCAAGCGGTGATAATTTCTATATGGATTTTAATTGATTATCTGAATGCTCTCTCTCTCTTTCTCTCCCTATATATATATATATATATATATCCATTGAAATCTCATTTTCAAAATTCATATATGAATTATAAGTTTTACAAGCTTTTCACATCTAATGTATCCATTTTTTCAGCAGTGGATCTATGATGATAAACGGATTTCAAAGCAGTTAAAAGGTATTACACGTTTAACTGATTTCAGTAAACAAGCAATTTCATGATTGATTTGATTAATAAGATAAGAAGGAATTTCTTTGTAGCTTATAAATTTTCAAAAGTTGTTGCAGCTTATCTTCAAAGTACCCCCATAACAGCAACTAATCCTTTAGTGAACGAATTTACATCGAACGTCATATTGTACGTTAGAATAACTTTTAGTATGGAAGGAATCTTACTTTAGAAGTATTTCTACTATCACAAAAAAGCAGCAAAGTGATGCTGTATTTTAAAAGTTTGACACAGTTTCGGATAAAACTTTATTATTTACTGAATTATCATGAAAAGAATTTTTTTAATCATATATTATTGATAAATTGAAGTATGTTAATGCTTATATGGTTATAATTTAAAACTCGAAGTGTAAAATACTTAAAGTGCGTTCTTCAACACCCGATTAGTCATGGAAAAAGTTAAATTCAGCATGGGTAGTATTGATGTTCTTCTCTTTTCTTTCCTGTATTATTGTATTAATGTAGGAATGTTTTTTATCTTATTCATTACTCTTACCAATAAAGATGAAGCATAAGTTTCACATGGAATCAAATGCTTTGCTTTAAATTGTCATTTATTAAATTTATGATTTTTGAAAGACATGACTATGATCTTCAAATCTTATTTAGGTCATCCATGGGACTTTCATTTTAAAGTGAAATTTTATCCACCTGAACCAGCAACATTGGCAGAAGACAAGACGCGTCATCTTTTAACCTTACAAGTTCGCCATGATATTTCCACTGGCAGGTTAGTATTATATCAACTTCCCTTGTACAATTCAATTTTTTTGTTGGATTTAAAAGTTTTTCCAAATTCTAACTTTTGCAGACTTCCAGCTACCCTTGCTACACATGCTTTACTGGGTTCATATGTCGCTCAGTCTGTGCGAGGTGATTATGAGCCATCCTTGCAATATATCGATTTCCTCAGAAATTGTCATTTAGCTCCTATACCGAATGAAATATTGTACGAAAAAGTTGAAGAACTGCACAAGAACCATAAGTAAGTTTATTTGGTTCATTTCTTTTGTCTTACTCATTAGATTAGTCTAGTGCATATCTTAGTAAAACTTGTCGTAATTCAGATTTTTTGTACATTTCAAAGAAATTTAGAAAAAAAATATTGTTGCCACACTTAAAATAACACATGTATCTATAGCTAATATTACTGCTTACTAGTTCTTACCAATTAAAATTGATAACGCATAAGAATATCTAAAAGAATTTCAATCAATTGATAAATAATTTAATTTTGCTTCAATAGCATAAAATTTATAGAGGCGAAACATCGGCTGAAGCGGAATTACACTATCTGGAAAATGTCAAGAAGCTGAGTATGTATGGCGTTCAATTATTCCATGCAAAGGTTTGAGTAATGAAGTTTCTCATAAATTTTCGAAATATTTGCTTAAAAATGCTTTCGTACTAAATTTCAGTTCTTTTTTTTTTTTTTTTATTTTAATGATTGATGTGATTGAAGATAAGGCTGTTTATAATGAGTCGTATAAGCTGATATATGTAGGGAATTAGAAGATGCTCGACTATTAGTTTAATGACATACGATTGAACATTCCATTTTGAAAGATCGAAAATGGACTAAGTCCGTTTTTTCCAGTTTTTATAATTTATCGTTTCTTTTAGAATTAGGCTTCTATGGTTGCATTTTCAAATTTGCAAATTTGCAAAAGTAAACAGTTTGGTTATTATAAAAAAATAGCTTGTGGATCGATAAATAATGTAGCAGTGATTAATTATTTTTTTTTTGTATTTTTAGGATGGAAAAAGTACACCTGTTCAGATTGGCATTAGTGCTCATGGAATCAATATTTACCTTGACCAAATTCGTGTACATCGTTTTCTTTGGCAGAATATCATTAAAATTGGTTATCGACGTAATATATTTATCATCAAAGTTAAACCTGGTGAAGTGAGTTTTTGTATTACTTTCTTGGTAAGAAAAAAAAATTGACTTTAAAAGTCAAATCAAAAAGTTGTTTAAAGTTATTCGAATTAATTCTAAGCTTTTTCCAGCTTGAAAAAAATGAATCAACAGCTGCTTTCAAATTACCTGATTATGAAGCAGCAAAACGAGTTTGGAAATGTGGCGTCGAGCATCATACATTCTTCAGGTTCATTTATTACGTCGATAATTCATTTAATCTGTCTGCTTGTTTTATGAATTAAAATGAACATAATCATTAATATAATTTGATTTCTAGTTTTGAAATAATCGTCATTAAGATACGATTTAACATTCCAGAAGGTTTCTTTCCACTATGTAGATCTAATAATGTGTAGATCTAATAATTACTACTATGTAGATCTAATAATTTAGAATAACTTAATGAATTAAATTAAAAGCTAGTAAAACACATTGCATGTAGTCAATCTGGTAAGTGCTGCATATTTATGATTATAATTCTTTACAGGTTGATCCAGCCAGAAGAAAAGCCGCATCGAGGTTTGTTCCGCTGGGGTTCGGCTCGATTCCGATATCAGGGACGCACTCAGTTTCAGTCAAAAATGGCTTCGCAAATGTTCTGTAACAATCAACCAATTCAGCGTTCCCAGAGTGTTCGTGTGGCTCAAAATGATGAAAACGGTGAGATAACTGTTTTGAATTTTTTCAATTTTTTTTTTTTTAAAATGTGATTTTAATCAACAAATAAAGAAAACATTTTAATCCTTATAATCAAAATTCGTTATTGGCAATCTGAACGACTTAACTAAATTTGGTAATCTTAGTTCCTTAGGTAAAATGGAATTTTATTCAGTTGATAATTCTTATCTTTTTTTTTTTTTTTTGCAGTTGCAATTCCGGCTTCATTAAGTCATACTCTACCGTTGGTTTATTCCGAGAATGGGACGGGTAGGAAATTAGACTGGAACGACAGTGTAAGTCATTTTATGTCAAAAATATAGTGCAAGGAAGAGCTCTTCCTTTTTTGCCGTGAAATGATAATGAATTTTCCCTGTTACTGTCTTTTTTGCATATTGTGTTAATTTCAGTTTTTTATGTGAATCTCAGATTTTCAGCAATGTGAGCTATGTGAAAGAAAAAAGAAATTTTTTTTTTGTCATTATTATTACTAGATCTTTCTATCTTCTTTTATTAACTATTAACTTTGTTTACTTATTTTGCATGGTATTATAGTGAACAATAGTTATTTTCAGCAGATAATTTCACCCGAAAAGATATATTCAACGCATATCGTAGAAGCTACGCAAAACAGAGAAAAAGACGCAATACTAAACGATGCAGAGGTGGGTAACACCAATAATACTTCAGGAAAACTATTTGATAGTGTTCATTCATCTGCTATTTCTACTACTGCTAATACTGCTATCGCTACTGATAGCACTGTTACTGGTCATCAGTATTTTGAGCAGTCTTTATCACCTCATATTTCTTCACATTCCACAAAAATTACCCATGATACTATTCCTTCTATGCACAAAATTATGAATGATCATGTTCACTGTCAGACGAATAATTCATACGAGAGCAGCAAATCAGATATATATGCTATGCGAAAAGGAAATATGGGTTTTTTACCAGCTGAAGATAAGGCAGTTATCTATCATCCTGGACATTATGAGGAAGAAATGATTGGAAGCAAACAACTTCATGAACCACCGGTTGAACCTGGTGATGATTTTGTGTTAGTTCATAAGCCAAAATTAGGATCAACAGGAAAAATATTTCATCGAGATGGTACAGAAACTAACATTCTCATAAAAGAAGAGGATATTGAAGCGTATCCAATACATCGATTTGCTGATATATATCATTCTGGTTTTTCGCGTATCACTAGTGGTAATAAAGAAAATTTAAAAGCATTTAAAAATGAGAAAATTTTGGAAACAGATGATATTGTGGATAAACCAAAAGCGAATAAAGAAAAATATCCAACAAGTGGACAATTCAAAGGATCTATTTTGCATACGGAACGTAGTATGGAATTGCCAGCAGAACCATTGAGATCTCATACTTATGTTTATAATAAAGGATATTACGATAGTATAGATTCCAGTCGAAAAGATATCGATGAAAATGAAAAAAGCAACATACGAAATTGGCTTCGTTGTTATAAAAAATCTGAAAAATCTCAAGCAAAATTATTGAAAGAAAACGATGCAGAAATTAAAGGGAAGAAATTAATTAATGGTGATCATACGATTTGTAAATCTGAAACTGAAAATGAACAAGAAAATAAAACAAAGGAAGTTCCGCTTATTCATGTCAAACAACCAGGTTATGAAAGACAGGCTGTGCAAACAAGTTATTATAATGTAGAATCGTCTGAAAAAAATCAAGGAACGGAATATCTGAAAAAAAGTAAAGTTGTTGCTGTTAGTGCTAAAGATGATAAAAGTTTTGATAATGATATAAAAGAAGAAGCGTATGAATCTATGCAACCAAAGCAAATATGTCATCTTTTCATTGGCACTTCAGATAGTTCGCATATTAGACCTGGAGCATATGGAGTACCATCAACTTCATATGATGAATTGCTACATATTATTAAATGTGAAGAAGAGCTTCCATTTTTACCAATACATGAACATGTGATGATTTATCATTCCGGAATATCGGTTATTAAGGATAAAAAACGCCGGAAATTTTTAATTGGAAAAGAGCGTAAAAAAACTACATCAAGTGGAACATCAACCGATGAAGAGATACAAAGTAATAAAGGAGAGAAGTGTAAAGCAATTCTTGATATATCTGAAGCTGATAAAAATGACTTAGCAGTCATTGTTGATGATGCTGAAAAAAGACCAATTGATGAAGAAATTAAGAGAAAATGTATGATGCATGAAATGAAGGAAAAAGATCAGAAAAAAGTTGATGTTACATCAGATTCTGAAGTCCAAAAAATCACTGTTAAAAAAGATATGAAATTAGTTGATTCTCAAAATGTAAAAAATGAAAGTACTCGTCAGAAAATGAAAGCTATATTTCATCGTAGCGAAGATCAAAATAAACAACGTAATTTGAAAAAAGAAACAGCGGTTCCCAAAAAAGCTAAAGAATCAAATGATGTCGAGCAGACAATTCAACCAGCATACAATATATTGGGAGGTATTGGTAAGTCAGTAAAAATGTCTAAAAGGACTGAATTATTGGAACAATCACAAGATGGACATATTTTAGACAATACACCTCCTCCATTGAAACTATCTCGAATCAGTGAAATTTCATTTCAACCTTTGCATCTTGCAGTAAAAGTACAAAATCAAATGCAAAATCTATCGCATAATTATAGAACGTTTAAGAGAGCAAAGCATAAAGGTGACGTGGAATTTATTGCAAAAGAAAATATTAATCCTGAAAGTTATAAACGTGAATGTACACCATATCAAGGACCTTTGGAGAGCACAAATTATGTAAGAGGATTACAATTTGCTCCAATTCATGAGTATTCTGCTATATATCATCCTGGTCATACTTATGTGAAATCGTCGTGCAAAGTAAATAAACGAAGGAATACTGCAGAATGTCAGAATCAAGAGAAATCTAGTATTTTGAAGACTAAGAAAATTGCTGCATTGAATCTGAACACAAAGAACTCTTACTCGAAGCATCATGAAGAAGAAAAAAATAATAACGAATCGAAAAATGACGATCAAGTAACCGCTTATGCTGCAAAGATTATTTGTAAAACTCCGCTAGAAGAAAGAAGAAAAGTCAAGAAGTATTCTTTCAAATATCGTCGAATTTCCGGTGATGTTGAAATTGTCGAGAAACCTTTTGTGAAACCTGAAGCATACAATCTTGTTACAATTTCTTATGATACACCAGTAAGTTGTTTAGAATGTGAAAAAGAATTGTCATTTACACCTCTGCAACAATGTGTAGCGCTATATCATAGTGGATTCTCTCACAAAAAAGCAAAACGATTACGTGATAGTAGCACTGAATCAAGTTCAAGTACAAGTTTCAGTAGCAGTTCTTCAACATCAAGCACTTATGTGTCGGAAAAAACGAAAGAATTGAAGAAGAAAGTTATGTTACATGTTATTTCAAAAAAACATAACACAAATGATGTTACAGTTGAATCATCAAAGCACAAAAGAATTTTTCCATTCTGGCGTAAAACAATTCATAGTGAGAAAGAAGGAAAATTTGCAGATGATAAAAAAGAGAAATTGGATATTTCATCAAAATTTCATCCTATTCAGCATCAACAACAATCGAATATTTCAGTTGATTGTACTGCAAGTCAAACAACATCTTCACCTTCACAAATTATTACAACAACAGTATTAAAAAAGGATCCTGTAGAAAAAACCGATACTAGCTTACATGTAAAAAATGAAAATAAAAAATTAAATACAAATCTCTATAAAAAGGAGCCATTAGGCACTTCAGAATATGATGAAAATAATGGTAAACGTGGAAAGTTTGGTCTATTTCATTTTTGGCGATCAACAGACAAGGAAAACAATTCGAAGAAATTTAGCTCTTCTGTTGCTGATATGAATAATTATTCTAATGAGGAACCTATGAATCATACTACTAATTTGGATTCATTCCATAGGGAAACAAATATTCGATTAACTACAAAAGGCAAAAAGAAACCGATTACATATATTATTGAAAAAGATATATCAACAACCGATGTAAAAACGAATGAATTGGCTCCTTCGATAAATATGAAGGACGATTCTTTAAACCATACTTCATCATCAGATCAAGCAAATATTGAGATGAAAAAGAATACTTTCATTCATCTTAAATGTGATACTGAGCTTGCTGATGATTCACCATTGAATTCAAACAGTAATGCTGGAATATTAACGTTAACTGGAATATCATCTCCAAGGACTAATGAAGATAGTAAATCAAGTAACACTGAGAAATCGCAATTAATGGACAAGGAAAATAATATTCATTCATGTGAAAGCACTGATGATTCAAATGAAAATAACTTAAAAAAGCATGGGAAACGTGATTATGTTGGATATATAGCAAAAGTTAAAGTTAAACAAGAAATGAGAAATGTTGATGAAAATTTACAGCAAAGTTCAAATTTAAGAGCGAAAGAGATAAATACGTCAGACAATGGCGTTAATAAGAGACCTAGCTTCATAGTAAAAGGATTTCATCTTCGTGGTCCACCAGGTGATTCAGAGCCAAAAACTGCATCTCATAATGGTACCAAATATAAGCCTGAAAAAAATACGCTCATAAGTGAAAATGTAGAAGCTAGTGGAGTTGGAATGACGAACATACATGAAGCGATTTCCACTGATAGCGCTAATAATAAACCGATTGTACGTAAAGAAGTTGTTGAATTGAAAGTAAAGAAGAAATCAACTGGAAGTGATGTTACCTTGAAGGAAAATAAGAAAGATAATGGTAAAAATATCAAGGGTAATTTTTTCTCTTCATTTTGGCGTGGTAACAAATCGGATGAGCACCAAAAACAACAAAAGATGATTGAGAGAAATGTTCACGAAACTGAAGTAACACCGGTAGAAATGACATCACCAAGCAATGAATTAGAATACAACATTCTGCGAACAAAAACTATGGTTGGTTCGATCAAACCTTCATCAGATATTGCTCATGTTGAGCAACAAACAAGACAAAAAGATTTTATTCCGGTTTATGATTTCTCATTTGTCCCTAGTTTTCCGGATGATACAAAGCTGGCTACCGAAACAACTGTAAGTAATGTGAAAAAGCAGAATGGATTGATCCAAGACTCAAATGATGGAATAGTAACTGACAAAATTACTAGTGAAACTGGAGAACAAAGAGATGGTAAATTGAGGGAATTGCTTAGTTATCATTCGAAGGACATGGAAGAGTGTAATGATATGCTCGCGTCCTCAGAAGATCAGAACGATAATTTGAGAGAGGAGCAGTCTACAGTTGACATGGCAAAACAAACTTCGATGGAAAAGACGTTTGTTACGGAATTATCCTGGGAAAAGTTGAATACAGAAACGGCAATAGAGCTGGAAACTTCTGAAGCTGAAAAGTTATTCCATCGAAGTGGAATAAATGCCGGTGAAGCATTAGATGAGCCATTCAAATTTACTCAGACGCCTCCAGATATTCCAGTTCTAGAGGCTCATTCAACAGATCTAAGAAGACCAGGTGGTTTTGTGGAGCAAATCGAACGACAAGTAATGCAGGTGTGTATAATACAAAATTAATACGCCATTCTTTGCTTTAACAATTTTTGCGTAAATTCAATTTGAAAATAGTTGAAGTCATAAATTGTTGCTTTTGTAAATTGCATGTTGTCCTTTTCGATTGCATTAATGTTGCTTTAATTGTCATGAGTGTAACTTACATTTCTAGTTTAAATTATTCTCTAAGCAAGTTATTTCCTTTTTTCATGTTTGAAAATTTTGAAAAGTTACGGTTTTTCGTTACCTTTTATGAACATTAAGTCTTTGAGTCGTCGTGTTGTGTTTGTTGTGCTTGCGTTTTCTATCATATTTGTTTCGTCTGTTGTGAAATTTTAAAATTATTTAAAAAATCAGCGATGCATACAAAATTTTTAGTGTGAAGCAGTTTTATTCGTCAAGTGTTGTGTATCATCAAAATATGTTGTGTTGCAAACATATAGGTTACATTTAATTTAGATGATATGATCTGTTTCTATTTTAGGTAATTACCAAAACATCACCATCATCAGATATTGAGAAGTCGAAGAAAGAAAAGAAGACAAGTGCATTGCCGCGTGAAAGCGAAAATTTTAATGCATCTGAAATTGAAATTGTTTCACATGATTCTCATGCGGACAAATCTGATTTCACTGGTGAATTACTACCTGAAGAAGCAAAACTAGACGATCAACTGGTGGAGTTGAATGTGGACATTGTACCAGCCATTCATCCGACTAATATTGTAAGTTACAAATCATCGATAAGCCTAACTATGTATGAGATTAACTTCACATTTTGTTTTGAAAAATAGTTTGTTTTGCGTTTTTTTTTTTTTTTCTTAATGGAATGTTTTTCACATAAATGATCGCTATTTTAGAATTGAAAAGTGGAGTAAAAATTAGTTAGTTTGAAATTGACCAAATTGTAGTAGCTCTTCATAATTAATGGTTTTTTATTCTTATTGTATGATTAATTGAACTATAAAAAACGTCATTTTTTATTTTACTTAAAAAATCGAACAATTTCTATTATTTTTAGAAAGGATTTGAAATTAAATATTTTCTACAGTGTATGATTAGGTAATTTAATATACTCATAAGTGCTGATAATCAGAAAGCTATGTATCACTTATAGAAATCTGCTTGATAAATCATTACACTGTTATATTAATCCTTTGCTAGCTAAATCGATCTTTCGAAATATTGTTAAAATTTCTCTCCGAACTAATACACTACAAGATAATTAGACATTGTTTTGATACTTATTCATTCAAATGGAGCTTCAGCCACTTGTATAGGCTAATAGTTAGTTGCTTTCTCTCATTATTCTTTAATATTTTTCTAGATCGAATTTTCTATTATTTTATGAGATGGCATCTAACCATCTTTGATATGATAATGTTAGAAATATGCAGCACAACAAATTATTAACTGAAGTTATGCGTAAAAGTCTAAACTTAAGCATATCATAAACTCAAGAAGATATAATTTTATAAACGTTAAGTTTCGAATTCTTAAAATTTTGGCAAAATTGTAATAATCACTGATTGATGCATTTAGAGAGTATCGATAACCTATGAGCATTTATCGTGTATAAAAGAATAATGTTATTGCATAATATATATACTATGCAATATTTAAGTTTTGTAGTAAAACAAATAGCAACGAAATGGATAATTCTTAGTTAGTCTCAAAAATTTTTAGAAATTCTGACATTACATCTAAATTTTGATTTATTTGTATTATTACCAACTTTGAAATGATAGTTTTGGAATGTAAGCATTTTTCTGCATTATGCTTTATATTTTTTTACTGCATTTAACTTATAAAGCAAAATATTACAATTTGTTTGCTTAAAAAACTTTAGAATTGTGAATACTTTGCTTTTTATACTTTCACGATTTAAGCGTTCATTTTAGACTCTATTCTTTATGCTTCTTACGGCATTTTAGGAATATTACGCTTCTTGAACTTGATATATTCTTTGCTCTGCTAGAAATGTATGCTATAGATTCACTTTTCCATTTTTTAAAGACGGATTTAAGTGAAAAAGATATTAGTGTACGAAAAGTTATTCATTATATTTAGGAATTATTTGTTGCTTTGTCTTTTTTTTTTTTTTTTGTTAATTTCGTTCAAATAATTCATTTTGAAAATGAAAACCTAAGATTTTTCTAGGTGGAATGTTCGAATATTCTTCATGCTTTCTAATACAAAATTGATTTCGTTTCTCTCTTACTTTAGGTGGCGTGAAATACTGAAATAAATTCATAACTGAGTGAGATTGAGATTTAAAAGCTCCTAAAAATTCTAAACTTTTTGATATATCTTACAATTTTCTTTATGCATTTCTTTACTAATTCCTGCATTTTGAAACATTTGAAACAGTTTTCAGTGTTTTACAGTTATTTTAAATATTTTCTGTTTCATTTTATTTGTTATAGGATGTTTCGCTACCTTATACATGCGTTGAAATGTGGCAAGAAACAATAAATGAACCTAAGGCAGTGGTCACTACTGTTGATCATCAGGGAAATATTACTAAGTTTGTTCCAGTTATTCCCAAACCGAGAATTTTATAGAAATTTACTACTCTCTGCATTTTAAAACAATTCTTTAAAACCTTCAGATTTTTTCTAAAATAATAGTTAGTTTGAATGAATGTTTGGAATTTCAAAATACAACCATTTAGTTTGTTTGCATTGGTTAATTGTGATACCGAAATTAATATTTTCCATAAAATAGTTGAAAGAATTTTAATAGTGTTATTGATGTTGAAATGTTTCTAATATGTAATCTTCTAGGAAAATTTATATATTCAGATTGTTTGTGTTGTAGGAAGACTATTAAGAAGCAACAAATGACACACACTATGCATCAGCAAACATATCAAGCTTCTAATGCTTCGAGTCAAAATGGAGATTTTGTAAGATTTTTTGATAGCTTGCAACATTAATAAATTTCGCCTTAGTTTTTGGTAAATGATTTACATTTACTCATTTGAAAATTATTTTAGAACCGCATCTATTGAAATAAAATTTTTATTTCATGCAGAATTGATTAATTTCTATATATGAATAAAGGATCATTTCTACTGTCATTCCATTTCTAGCTAAATGATTTATCATTCTGAACTTCTGTGTTCTTGTTCATGAGTAAATCATCGAAAGATTATTTTTATCTATAGTACTTTTAGATCATAATATGTCTACCTTTATAGATAAAAATGTTTTATGATAATCAAAATGTGTGTAAAATAGAATAAATGCATACTTAAGTCATTACATAATAAACTTGACGAAGCAGAGTGTTTAATTTTGCTCTTTCTGCAGGATATAAGTGTGATTGACGCATCTAAGAAGTTATTTGCACTTAATGGTAATGAGAATATGACAAGTTTACAAGCACCGATTGTTGAGACAGTTGATAATAAACTCACTTGTGAACCAGCGAATGATATCGACAAAATTAATGGGAATGATTATTCGGATATTCCAGGGGAATTGGTTTCCAGTCATACTGTTACACAAGGCAATCGTACCATCGAAACGATAACTGTAAAGTTTTTTTTTTTTTTATAGTTTGGAGAAGATTTTGTTTTTTATTCCAAAAAATTGTTTTCTTACAGAACATCATCTTTTTCATCAACAATTTGCCAGATAATAGATTTTCTTTTTTTTTTTTTTTTTTTAATTTCAAGAGACTTCATTGAATATTAAGGATTATATAGACATCAAATCATGCGTTTGATACCTAATGTCTAATATATATGTATGCAATGCTTATTTCCTAATTCGAAGAATTATTTGTTTACATTTTGAGAAATATCGGTATACACTTTTAGTATAAGACTGAGAAAAATGGTACCGTCGAAACTCACGTTGAACATCGCGTGACTATTCATTCGTGTGATGATATTGATCATGATGCCGTAAGTTCACTTAAATTTCTTCATAAGTATAATTATGGTCCGAAATATTTTTGATGTGCTCTTAATATGATAACTTTGAAGTAAAAAATCGTCCACTTAGAGTAGTATTCAGCCGAATGGCATTACAGTTGCTTTTTTCACATTTTTTACTTTTGAAATGAGTAATATATCATTGTGCATAGATCGTAGTTATTATCGGGCTTGCATATTTGATTCATAAGAAATATATTTTCGTTATTGTATGAATTCATTAAATTACTAAAGAGATTAATGGAGAAGAACAGAGAATATTTTGCAGGAACTGAGTCAAGCAATTTTGGAAGCGACTAATATGAATCCAGATATGACAGTTGAAAAGATTGAAGTGAAACATGAATCACAATGTTAGCATGAAGCTTCTCAATTATTATTTGCCGTTAACCCTATTACTCCTTAATTTTTTTTTAATTTTTGTTTATTTTTTTAAAAAAAAAAAGAAAAAAATTATTGAAAGAAATTTTTTATTCAAATTATTTTTCCGTTGTTTATGCGACTTTTCTATACAAAAGAAGCTATCCATCTTTTTTTTTTCTATTACGTCAAATGTATAATAATGAAGTCAGTAGCTTTGAAGTTATTATAAGGAATGTTGGTGTAATTTTCGGCCTCTTCTATTAGAGCTTTGTGTATCACCTTTCATTTTTGCTGTCATTTTTGATTTTCGTTTTTAAAGCATTTCAAATATTGCTGTTCAAATATTACTGTAAATCCTTTTTTTTTTCTCTTTTGTATCTTAAATTTAACTTTTATATCTATGCTTCTTAGCTTCTCAACTATGATCTTATCAGTAATCCCCGGTTTTCCAAGTGGATTAAGGTATATTTAACAGCTTAAAGAATGCATCTGTAAGATATACACAAATAGTGAAAATTTCTGAATTTCACCTGATTGTGCACACATTTAAATCGATTATGTTTTTAACTCATAAATAATCATTGCGTCTATACAAAAATATTTTTTGATGAAACAATAAACTTGATAAAAGAAGTTCAGAAGGCATAATTTTGAATCTCAAATCTTCAGTCGCTTTCAGTGAAAGCTGTTATCACTTTTCATTACGTGAATTTCAGTCTTACGTTTATTGTTGATGGATACTACTGTAATGATAACAAGCAAACAAAACTATCGTATCATTTTATTTTCTCATTTCTGGTTTTCAAGGAGATTAAAAGAGTTAATAAAAGAATGAAATTAAATTTGTTTTGAAATTTTTGCACTTGTATTTTTTACATTTATTTTCCATTTAACACATTTACTCCAAATCTTTGACATGAACCACTGTTCTTTAATGTGTTTCTTTTTTTCTTATTTTAAAATTAGATTTTTTTTTTTTCAAAACGTAGAAAAATGTTGGAGAATATTTTTTCTTTTCAATTAAAATGGAACGGTTATATTTGATATTGTAGAGAGAATGTCTTTTCCACATTGCCTCATGTAAATCATTTAAAAGTCTTTTTTCTTTTTTTTGATGGGGAAATGTCTTTTTATATATTTCTTAATAGAAATAGACGTCCGACATCCTTTTGTTTCGTTTTTTTTTTTCCTACTCCTTTGTCCTCAAAATTTAAAAAAAAAATTCATTTAAGGAAATACTATGAAAAAAAAAAAGAACAAAAGCATTATGAAAAAAAAAAGAGAGCAAAAACATTTAAATATCCCATTATTTTACGTAAAAGAAGAAACGTTCTAAGTTTTGTTCTGCTGAAGAATCATTATCAAATTAATTAAATGCATGCTAGTAATAATTGAAAGTGGTTATTATTTAATAGCACTAGTAAAACAAGTGGACATAATAAGTTTCAAATAACAAATTTCTTTTATTTAAAGAAATAAATGGGATACATTATAATCACGTACGTGACTTAAATACTACTGCGATGATACATTATAATCACGTACGTGACTCAAATACTACTGCGATGATACATTATAATCACGTACGTGACTCAAATACTACTGCGATGATACATTATAATCACGTACGTGACTCAAATACTACTGCGATGTGACTCAAATACTACTGCGACGATGATACATTATAATCACGTACGTGACTCAAATACTACTGCGATGATACATTATAATCACGTACGTGACTCAAATACTACTGCGATCACGCAAATAGCAGTAAAACATAAGCGTTGTAGTGTGGCATTGTACAGACAAGGATGTTAATAGGATTTGTTGAAGATGAGAAATATTGTTTATTTCAAGAGATATGAGAGGATGGTAGAAATACGAGACAATGAGATAAGAGATTGAGAGGATGTCTTGAAATAGTGTAAGCAAAGATTGAGAGTAGTTTGGACTGCATGGGTTTGTATGCAAGTTGCGAATAAATTAGATATTTCAATGTATGTTCTGTTTGCAATAAATATTCATAAATTTAAGGAAAATTCTTTTCAATAACTAATCTAAATTAATCATTGGAAATAATTACCTTTGAGTAACCCAATGTTTAAAGAATTAATTTCACTTGAAAAAAAATGACCTTGGAATAATGCAGCAAAATTGATATATCAGTATGTGATGTCTAAGAATTTCAAAATTGCACAATTTGCAGAAATTAACAAAATAAATTAATTCCTCCTATAACTCAAGTATTATTTTATCATTTTATGATTTGTTTCATAATTTGTGATAAATCATTACAATTAACTGAAAGAGTTTAATATTTGTTGTTACTTTCATTACACTGTAAAATTTTAATTATTTCTTTAAGTCATTGAAATAGTGCAAAGATCTGGTATATCGAATTAATCGATGTTAGCCAAATAATTTGAGCAATTAATAGATTAAATGAAATTTCTCAGTTGCTGTTGTTTTACTTTTAGAAATTTCATAAAGGATCATGTTTGATATACAGTTAGCTTATTACCAGCATATATGTTGTGCAAAATGGCTTGAAATGAAAAAAAAAATTACATTTGTAATGATTGAGGAAAAATAAAGAAAAATATCAGTTTAAGTTAGACAACTTGAATATTGAAATCTAATGTAATTATTTTAATTTCCAAATGATATTTTTCTAAAATCTGGGAGAAAAAAAAGAATGAATTTTGTATGAATCTTTATTTGCTTACTGCGCTTTGTAAGTTTCTTTATCATATTTTATTCAAATTTTAGCACTCTTCTTTTTTTCAGCTTTGATTATAGGTATCATTAAAAATGTACAGTCTTCATATGGCCAAATATGCTATTAAGATTTCACGAAAATTTCCCATTAGTCAAATATTTGGATTGAATTGCTATAAGCAATTTTTTAATGCAAGAGCAACTGCGATTCCATCGTGCTATTCAACAAATTCGCAATCACTGATTATGGAAAACTTTTTCGAAAATGTATTATATTTCATTTCTCATCCTTAGCTAATTTACGACAACGTATGATTTCCTAGAGAATAGTTTCTTTTTTTTATTATTATTTTTTTTTCTTTTGTTTTTTAAATGAAACTACATACTATGATTATGTTGACTTTAGAAAGTTGTCAAATGGATATCCAAGAAAGACTGAGATTGTTCATCTTTATGAGTATTATTTAAGAGAAGAAGCAAGCCTGAAATATGGAATCTATCCTCATCCTCAAATTACTTCCTGATAATACTAGACACAAAGCAATAATAGCTGGATACTTGAGACAAAATTTAATAATGAATCTAAAATTCTGAAATAAAATATCTGATGATAAGAAGTTTTAGCGAAATCATCAAATGATGTCTGAAAAAGCTCGGGAATTTATCGAGGAAAGTATAAAATTAATGAAACCCAAGGAAGTACATATTTGTGATGGTTCAAATGAAGAGGCTGATCAACTTATTAAGCGAATGGTTAACGATGGAATGCTAAAAAAGTTGAAGGCTTACGAGAATAACTTTATTTGCAGAACGGATCCAAGAGTTAGTTGTTTGTTTCGGTTTGCCAGGAATCATAGGTTTCTGTGTCTAGAAATCCCAATAATTTTCTTTCTCTGATTAAAGACATTCTTGATGAAACCTGAAATTTGAATTTGCAAAAATTTAGTCAAAATTTTTATGTCAAGTAAAAGATCTTGTTGGTTCTTGTGATTGGTTGATAATATATATATATGGTTTTAGTAATTCCTGAACGAAGTGCCATAACATAGTTTGCAAGAATATTACGTTTTTCAGGATGTTGCTCGTGTAGAAAGTAAAACATGGATGGTAACAGAAGAAAAATTTGACTCGGTATGTCATACGGCGGAAGGTGTAAAACCGATCATGGGTAACTGGATGTCACCTGAGCAGTTTGAAAGCGAGAAAAATACACGATTTCCTGGTTGCATGAATGGTATGCAAAAGAACAATTGTTGAAGTTAACATTTTTGTTTTCCCACAACTTTTCATTTAAGAAATGAATTGTTGATGAGATTATTTCAGGACGAACAATGTATGTGATTCCGTTTTCGATGGGTCCAGTTGGTGGACCAATTTCAAAAATTGGAATACAGGTTTTGAAATCTTATAAAAAAAATCTTATAAAATTTGATAAGATTTTTTCCCACTCAATGTGTGACTTTGTAGAATTGTTTTACTTTATATCACAAAATCTTTCTTGATTAAGTAACTTCACTATATATACGTTTTCAAAGTGTTGAAAAGTGTTCCTTATTATTTTTATTATATATTGTTATACGTTACACTTCCATTTTTTAGGTTACTGATTCCAGTTATGTTGTTCTTTGCATGCGTATTATGACTCGTGTAACGCCAAAAGTATGGGAAACATTAGATAATAATAATTTTGTCAAATGTATTCATTCTGTCGGCGTTCCAAAACCGGTTAAAGGTATTTTCTCTCTATTCTCCATTTGATTGAGGTATTAAATATAGCTTGATATCAGTCATTTCGAGAGAAAAGAGTGGTAAATTTTTGCAATTTCTGTTTTGTGATCAAATTAGTTGGTAGTTAATTTAGATATTCTTTTTGATTCGAATTCATGATGTTATCTTTTAAAAGAAATTCATGTTTTAATGAAATGAATTATTGCTTAGTTTTTTCCTGCAAAATGTTTATTTTATCTCATAATTATTATTAACAAGTCTAAATACATAGCTCCCAAGTTCCTAAGAATTATGTTTTTTCAGAAAAATTGGTGAACAATTGGGCATGTAATCCAACGAAAACGATTATAGCACATCGTCCGGCACAGCGTGAAATTTGGTCTTTTGGCTCTGGTTATGGGGGTAATTCGCTACTTGGGAAGAAATGTTTTGCATTAAGGATTGCCTCAAATATAGCTAGACAAGAAGGTTGGATGGCTGAACACATGCTTATCATGGGTAAATTTCAGTTTATTATAATTTAAATAGTTTTACCTGCTTTTGGAGAAGGCTCAAAAAAAGTTCATTTTGCAGAGAAAAACATTTTTCAGGTGTAACACCTCCGAATGGTAAAGAACGCTTTCTTGCGGCTGCATTCCCTTCAGCTTGTGGTAAAACCAATCTTGCAATGTTGACACCAACTCTTCCGGGTTGGAAAGTGCGATGCATAGGTTTGATTTAAAATGAAATTTTTACATTCTTTCTGCAAGGTGTATGAGAAATTTTTTCTTTGTGAAATAACTGGCGTCTTATTGTATTTAGGTGATGATATAGCATGGATGAAGTTCGGTAATGATGGTCAGTTATACGGAATAAATCCAGAAGCGGGTTTTTTTGGTGTTGCACCAGGAACATCGTACAAAACTAATCCCATGGCGATGGCATCTTTTCAGAAAAACAGCATTTTCACAAATATTGCTGAAACTGCTGATGGGGAATATTTCTGGGAAGGACTGGAAAAAGAAATCAAGGTTTGTAGTTAATTTGTTTAATGTAGCTGAATTGATTTGACCCAAAATATAGTGTCTAAAAAAGAAAGATTTTACTTGAAATATGGATGAAAAAATCAAGATGACGAATGTAATATTATTGCATAAATAAATGTGTCACAATTGCCATTATTGCATAAAGTGTCATAATTGCTATGATTTTCAGAATCCAAAAGTTGATATAATCAATTGGTTAGGTAATAAATGGCACATTGGTGACGATGGTCAAGCTGCACACGCCAATTCTCGATTCACTTGTCCTGCCAGTCAGTGTCCGATTATTCATCCAAGATGGGAAGAACCTGGTGGTGTACCAATTGAGGCATTTATTTTCGGTGGAAGAAGGTTAGTGTGAGGATTTATAGTAGAATATAAAAGTTGTATATTGTTTAGCAACATTATTATTTTTTCTTTATTGAACTTGATTTGATGTCAACTAGTAAGTTTGACTTTGTGGTTTTCGTAAAGCTTAAGTAATATGATTTGTCCATCTACAATCCTTCACTTATTAGGAAATTTACAAAATAATCAGTGAAACTAGAAAGACTATGTTGATATGTTCTTCAAAGTATTGTTTAAAGGTATGAGTAACACAAGAAGAGTAGAAGTTGTTTTTGAATTAACTACAAAATTCTTGAGTTGTATTGTTGAGATAATTTTAAATTTTAAAAGAATTTTGGCTACTTTAATTTGTTGACTGTGCCAGGTAGAATATATGGTTTAGGATGATTTCTTATAAGAAAAAATAGATCCATACTAAAAACTAAAAAATAGAATCCATATAAATTAAAGCGTTAGCAATCGGGTTCTTTCTTAGTAGTCTGGTAAAATTGAAAATGAATTACAGACCGGAAGGTGTACCGCTGGTATTTGAATCATTTTCGTGGCAGCATGGAGTTTTTGTAGGTGCATGCCTGAAGTCTGAAGCAACAGCTGCAGCTGAATTTAAAGGTAAAGTAGTAATGCATGATCCAATGGCGATGCGACCCTTTATGGGTTACAACTTTGGCAAATATCTTCAACACTGGCTAAATCTGAATAATGGCATTCATAAGGTTATCATTTTAAATTGTTTTTAAAGCATACAGAAATCTGAAAGAATTGATTCAGTAGTTCACTTAAGTGGCTATTTTTCTCTAGAAGTTTTGGTTTTATCAGGTAAAAATATATGTATATCCGAAAAGTGCACCTGCATGCAACATGATATAAATCATTTTAATGCCTAATATTGAAAATTATTGTATGGTATTGGTGCATTATAATGTAACATACTATAGATCTAGTGCAATTCCTGCAATCAGATTTACATATTATTTCCTAAAATTTTTATTCTCATAGGTTCCAAAAATTTTCCATGTGAATTGGTTTCGTCGTGATGAGAATGGTAACTTCTTGTGGCCAGGATTTGGTGAAAATATTCGCGTAATTGATTGGATAATAAAACGTTTGGATGGTGATGAATCAGTTGGACAAAAAAGTGCTATTGGTATTGTACCTAAAGAAGATTCATTAAATCTGGAGGGTCTTGAAAATATAAACATAAAAGAATTATTGAGCATTCCGAAGCAATATTGGGTAGAAGATGTTCAGGAGATTAAGAAATTTATGGAAGAACAGGTAAGATCTCTAACTTCGATGTTTTTTTAGTATTTAGAAGAAATAATCCTTCAATTAAGTTTTTGCAACTTTTTTCTTCTGATATTCTGATTTTACCAATCGTTTTATCTTTTTCCGTAGTAGAATAAATGATAAAATTTGAGAAGTTTAAATTTGCTTCATATGTTATGCTAATGCACGAAGTTAATGGATTGAAGGATAGAAACAGATTACTTTTCTTCTGTTAATATTCGATTTACACAACCTTGCTGGTTTGTTTGTTTGGCACCCCACCTTTTGCTGTAATAATAATATAGGGTTGAGGTACTGAACAAATAAATCAATAAGGTTATATAAATCAGTTATTTTTTTATTTTTTGTAAAGGAAAGTAAACAAAAAATGAATTTATTATCCCTATCGATCTGTATTTTTTCTATTTTTTTCCAAGTTACTAATTAGAAAAATGATTTCTCATATCTTTTTTTCTTGAAGCATTTCTTATTCTTTCTGTCTCGGTTTTTCGAATTTTATGTGAGAGTAATCATATTTGGTGCTTTCGAACTATTACACTCTTTCAGGTCGGATCAGATTTACCGCAAGAAATTCGAGCCGAAATGGAGGAACAATTTAAAAGAATTGCAGCGTTGTAATTTAGTCGTGAAAACTTCATTTTGAAACTGATAATCTACTTTGATCTGTTCTATATCACTGCTATCGGGTAATTCCAGTTTTTTCGGGTTCAATTTTCAAACTGATTTAAAATTTATTATGTTAATTTTTTTCAAATATTGTTTATGGAGACTTTTTAATTTTATTTATGAAGATTTTTTATGCCTAATGGATTATATCAGTGATATAACTCTTTCTCAGGAAATTTTGGTTTGGTTGTTTTAGTTATCCTATATAGTTCAAACAATTTTTTGTTCTGTTGTTTCATGTTTTTGAAATGCTGGTATACTTGCTGTTATTCCTGCCATTAAAGACAAAATAAATTTCTTTTAAAGATTGCTTTTATCGATAATCAAAGCTTGATTCTTTTAACAGTTTTTAAATTGAAAGTTCTTTTCATTGGTACAGTCCGGTATTTTAGTTCTTTAAATTTGAATAAACAAATTGTATTTGCAACTAAATTAAATCTCCTATGAGATCGATATCATGCTTTCAATACTTTCCAACTAGTTATTCAAAAAAGAAAAAACTATCAGTGACTTAGCCGTGTTATAAGATGATTCAAAAGCACGGTATGCATAAATTTTGATCAAAAACATGTATTATAATTAGTTTTGTTTACAGATATATACTTAATGGATTAACCATTTGCGTACTTTGTCCTATTTATGTAACTGAAAATAAAACTTACAGCACGTTTTCTTGACCTGTCTCCACCACCATCCGTTCAGGAATAATTGTAGGTGCTCCTGGTATCACATCACTATGAATTGCCATTCCGTCATCTCCGTGAACCAATGCCGGTTCTAGTTCCTCCGCTGGTATTTCTTCCATTTTTTCTTGCTCGCTTTCAAGGAGTTAATTCTGATTCTCGAATTCCCGCTCCAAACCTCTGTCGTGTTCCAAGAACTCGCAGAACATTTCGACTTGTTCTCGAGATGGCGGATAACTTTGGACGCCACTTCAAGTCAGCTTTTGGGAATTGTGTTGTTCCTTCGCTGTGAGCTCCATACTCGCTTCTTTGCAATTTTTCTCTCAGCTCGTCAATCTCGATCATTATAATTGAATAGCTCAGTAAGTAAGCTGGATGTTACTGTAAGCAAATTTGACATTAAAATAAACATACCAGGTGTGCTGCATTTTACAGGTAATTCCCCAACACCTGAAAGTACACCAACTCTTCACGCAGGCGAATTTTCAAATCTGCAAAGTTGGCAGATGTGGCCTTTTTTTCAGTGGCTGAAAAATATTGTAGTAATGTCACAATTTAATCGCAATAAAAATCACACCGAAAAAATCTATAAAAGAGACTAAACCATTAATACTATTATCATTATAAAAGATAGGTAAGTCATTAGTATATTAATCAATGAAAGTTTGTTCAGTCTACCAGTTGACCTCCTCTCCTTCTCGATGGAATGATCTCATGTCACAAGCATGGAAGAGAAAGGAGGAAGAAAGACAATGAATGCTTTGGATTGATTGTTGTCCGATGTCTAATAATAATTTGAAGTATTGATAATATAAATAATAGCTATAGTTAAAAGGTCAATAAGATTTGATATTTATTTTTACTTATTTGTCATCTATCATTGCATTATTTATTACAACTTATAAATTATTATTTTTATATCATATTGTTTGTTAGTACATCTTATTATATTATTTATTTATTGTTGTTTATTATTACTTATTATCAATTATTATTGTATCATTATTTATTATCAGTTATTGCTATTATTTGTTATTTTTTATTCATTATTTTTATTATTTACTATTATTCATTACTATTTGTTTTTTCATTATTGTTATTTATTATTTATTACTACATGTTGTTAATTATTATTATTAATATTCATTTATCATTAATTTTTTTTTATTTCCCACTATTTATTATCATCTAACCTATTTATTATTATATTATTGACATTAATTATTATTTTAATTTACTGTAATATATTATTATATCATCTATTATCACTTATTATTTTTTGTTATTATTTATTGTTATATATTTCTCATTATTTTGTATTAATTGTTATTTCTTTTTATTTTATATATTAATTATTATTATATTATTTATTATTTATCATTTCATTTTATTTACCACTTGTTATTATTATTAATTATAATTAATTATTATATTTTTATTGTTATTATTTAATTTGGTTTTATATTATCGGTGGCAATTATCAGGCCTTTTTTATTAACGATATTCTGAATAATGATTATTTGTTGCTGAAAATTATTTTCTGGATCAAAGTAATCTTTATTACAGGTAAATTAACCGTTGGATTAAAGGTATTTGAGTTGGTTGCTCTTTTCTTTTACCTTTTTGAAGACGTTGAATTACTAATTTGAAGCAATCATATGTGTAATTAGGTTGTGATGGCTTATTAAGTTCAAATACTTTTTTTCCCTTCGACCATTAGGAAGTATTTGTCTTCTTGTTTTTTCCTTCCTTTAATATATATATATAAACAGTTGAGGATATTAAAATTAAAAAAAAAAAAAAATTTAAGACTGAGAAATTTTTAACGTTTTCAAGGAGAAAGAAAGAAAATTATGATAAGTGTAAAGTATTGAATAAGATCAAAAATTACTAACAATTATTTACAATGAATGATGTATCGATAAAATTACCATAATAATAATAAAATTTCAAGCAATTTTGCTGCCCAAAAAAAAGAAGAAATTGATAGGAGAAAATTGGTTTTTCTCAATATTTAATATCTTCGTTTATCTATTAATCCAAGTGTAAGAAATGACAAAAAGAATTTTAAAAAAGAGACGAAATCAAAAATGATAACATTTTATAATTCTTTCTAGTTCAAATTTTTAACTAGGTCCAGTCTCTTTCTTTCTTTTTTTTTGACATTTCATTGCTATTTGCTGATTAAATTTTTAGTGTAATGTTTTCTACTAGCTTTGATAATCGGTACTGCACATGTATAATGTATTACAGGATATAATGAAAGGTAAAAGATAAAAAGTTAAAAATTTGTGGAATAAGTCGCTAACAAATATGGGATGAAAAAATTGCAAATGATATTGTCAAAATAGCACAATGTGGAGACATTTATCTTATGAGATAATGACAATACTATTTCTCAAACCGTCTAACAACCTGTTAAACATTTTGCAGAAATAAGTGATTTGTTCCTGTCAGCTGGGTGTAATTTCGCAATATAGCGTTGGGCATTTTATCCTACTGTACGGGTAACTCACTCGTCCCTTTTGTCCTTTAACACTCAGTCATTTAGGAAGTAATGAGGAATTGATTAATGTATGTTAGCACTTCATTTATCGAACACATATATATATCGTGACGCTACCTCTTACATTTATGACTATGAGCGAAGTATGTCTACTACCATTCATTGTGAATGATTTGCCCAAATGGGTGGTTTTTTTTTTTTCTTTTCTTTTCTTTTATTCATGGGGAAGGTTTTTTCACAAATAGTTCAGGACGTATATCATTAATTTAGTTATAGATAAGATCAATAACTTTTATGGTATTTGATAGTCTATTTGTTAACTGTACGGATTATTATATGATGAATGTGAGATGATCAAGATATCAGTGATCATGATAAATTACTGGGACATTTATCTTTTGCAAGTTTTCCTCTATGTTTACATTACATATTTGTCTTACTTGTTACATTTTTCTTTCATGATGTATGTCGCTGTTTTTTTTTTCTTGATTAGATGCTATGATTTATATCAAATTTTTGTGTTGTCAAAAATAGCTCTATCTTTTGTCTGGAGACATTTTTTTTTGACTCATTTTGTATCTTTCTTATACAAATTGTGAAATTAATTTCAGACGTTATTTTATACATGAAAGAAAAAAGAATGGAGAAAAAGGAAATCGAACATGATGGTACGCAATCAGATACAATTTTTATTAGAGATCATCTACCTGTTGAGTCACCATCACCTTCAGTCGGAACTATTCTCATGCGTTCACCTAAATTATTAGCAGAAGTACATCGTCAGGAATGTACTGAATTACCTCGGCAAGAGTGTCCACCAACGACAACCCTTCCCATGCATTTATTACAACAGTATCGAGATGAGGAAAAAGTGCCGATGTTTCTCGTGAAAATGTGGAATATCCTAGAAGATCCGGAATTTCAAAACATAATATGCTGGGACAAGGTTTGATTTTTGTGCTTTTACTGATTTTATTATTGAAATTATATAATAAATATATTATTAATTAATTATAGAATTAATCTGGACTAGATTGAAACTAAATCTGGCACTCCGTCAATGTAGTTCTAGCCAAACGAGTGGGTGTAGGATTACGTTTCACTTTTAAGACCGGAAAACTTCATATTCTTTCTGGTTAAGTATGTTCAGTATAGTAGACATATTGGAATTCTGAAAGAAGCTAAAACATCATTTTTATGATGATTTTATGAGAATATTTTTATAACATCATTTTTATAATGATGTTTGGTCTTCTGATGAACGAAATGATTTTGCTTCTTTACAAGCAGGGATGAGCGAGTTCAAAAGGGCTCTAAATTCAGTTTTTTTAAGCATAGTTTTTTTTTTCTTTTCTTTTTTTAGAGTGGATACAGTTTTCATGTTCTGGATCCACATCTGTTTTGCCGAGTAGTCTTGCCGCAGTTTTTCAAGCACAACAATTTGAATAGTCTCATACGCCAACTGAACATGTGTAAGCATTTTTTGTGATATTTCAAACGTTAATTGATTTCTCATGATTCTCAGCCGAGAGAATTGATGAGTTAGTTATCGGGTAATCGATGTTTTCAAAACGAGCAAATCTGATTTATAGCAGTACACGCAGGAGTCTCTTCAAATCGGCATCTCGGCAATATAAGCGTTATGTATAAATGAAACAGCTTGATACTGGTCATTGAACAAATGATAATTCGTGAAAAAGTTGTAATACAAATTGTGAACCTATATGAGAAATCTACTCTTGTGTAGTGTTTTTTTGGAAGTACTTGTAAGTTTGTGAATTTTCTTAAAAATATCTTCCTTTGGTTGTGAAAAATTTTTTTTCACTACTCGGATGCTGTCTTGAGGCATACAAATATATGTTCTTTCACATTTTTATAATGTATATCGTTATTTTAGCATCAATTTTTCTAGCTATTGTTGATTCTTGTTTTACTGTTGATGAGAAATCGTGTACTTCCAGATGGTTTCCGGAAAATGACGCCAATTGAGAAGTCAAGTTTGGCACGATCTGAAAGTGATCAGGATCATTTGGAGTTTTCCCATCCGAATTTTATCCAGCATCATCCTGAGTTGTTAGTTAACATTAAACGTAAAACTCCGGGTAATCGAAACAATGAGAATAACTCAGTGGCTATGCCTCCAAAAGAAATAAGTGTCCTTGTGGATGAGATACGACAGTTGCGTGAAAAGCAACGAACGATGGAAAACAAAATGGCACATCTTGTAAAGTATGTTTTAAGCATAAACGATGTGAACTTATCATCAGCGCTCATATAAAGTAACTGAAACATAGTAGAATCTGGAAAGACTATAAGTCTGCCTTTTTTTTGACTTCGGGTCCTTTAACAAATCACAATGTAATTTGTTTTTTTTTTTGTTTCGTTTGCATATGTAAGAAGATTCAATTGGAAGATGGATAATTTTACTTTTTCAGCAATTTCTGGAATCAATTTTGGAAATAACATTTGAAATTATAAAATATCTTTAGATCAGTCTTTGATTTCTCTTGCATGGCTATATAGCCACTGATATAAAAACAAAAATGTTACAGGTATTGAAAATACGTTTTCCAGGGAAAATGAAGCAATGTGGCAGCAAGTATCACATCTTCGAAATCAGCATGTTAAGCAACAGCATGTTGTCAACAAATTGGTCCAATTTCTAGTAGCACTCGTACAGCCCTCACAAAAACGCCTTGGAAAAAGGAACTTACTGGCAATTGATGAAGTATTTTTTATTCTTTCTTCATTAAATGTTTAACTATTTAATGGAGGTAATAGGTTTATCTCGGAGATGGGACAGGCTTACGTACACTTTAGTACATTTCACTTTACTGGT